TTTTTGCCAGTTGTGGGGCCTGAACTCTGGGCCTGGGTGCTGTCCCTCAGCTCTTCAGCTCAAGGCTAGTACTCTACCATGTGAGCTACAGCTCCACTTCTGGCTTTTTCTGCTTATGTGGTGCAGAGGAATCGAACCGAGGGTCTCATACATGCAAGGCAAGCACTCTACCACTGAGCCACCTTCCCAACCCAGAACATGAGTCTCTTATCTCCAATTTTCAGAAAACTAGAAGTGGCACTGTGTGTCAAAGTGGTAGAGCACTAGCCTTGAGCAAAAGAGCTCAGGAACAGTGCCCAGGTTCTAAGTTCAAGCCCCACAACCAAAAAAACCCAAAACAAACCAAACCAAAAAATGTACTTAACAGTTTGGGATATTTGCTAATTTATGTGCATGTGTTGTATGTATGGGGGACGCATAAAGGGGCACACATGTGTCTGTACATACCAGTACTGGGTCTTGAACTCAGGACCTGGGTGCTGTCTTTGGGATCCTCAGATCTCAGTCTCCTGAGTAGATAAGATTATAGGTGTGAGCCACCAGTGTCCAGTATTTGCTGATTTTTTTTTTTTTTTTTTTGGTCATGGGGCTTGAACTCTGGGCCTGGGTACTGTCCCTTAGCTCTTCAGCTCAAGGCGAGTGCTCTACCACTTAAGCCACAGTGCCACTTACAGCTTTTTCTGCTTATGTGGTGCTGAGGAATGGGACCCAAGGCCTCATGCATGCAAGGCAAGCACTCAACCACTGAGCCACCTTCCCAGACCTATTTGCTGATTTTTGAGATGATCATTTTAGCAAACTGAGAAAGGCAAAAATTAAATTGCAGACTATTAGGGAGTGAATGATGCAGTGGAAGCAGCAGGTGTGTAAACCAGGCTTTCAAGAAATTCACCAGTGAGATAGAGAGAATGGAAGCCCTAAATGAAAGAGACTAGAAGGGGAGTCTTTTTCCAATACTAGATTTCAGTATTTTTGTAAATAGAGCAGGGAGAGTCAGTAGCAAGGAGAAGATGTAAAAGCATTTTCCATTCCACCAAACCCAAAGATGTTTCACTGGAAAATTAAAATGGAAAACACATGCACGCGCACACACATGCACAGAGAGAGAGAGAGAGGAATAAAGTCTTAAGTCCAGCACCTAAAAGGACTGGCTTTTAACATACATTTATATGTCCTAGGGCATTTTGTTGAATTGTTTAAAGTAGTCCTGAACTGGACATTGGTAGTGGAGTTGTGGTTCCTATAACTATATGGCAATGCCAAGGGTTTGAACTCAGGGCCCCATGCTAGCTAGGCGGGAGCTCTGACCGAATAACTTCCCTGCCCCGAGTTTGCTGACATTTTTTTTTCTATCATGGAGCTTGAACTCTGGGCCTGGGCACTGTCCTTGAGCTCTTCAGCTCAAGGTGAGTGCTCTACCACTTGAGCCAGAGCACCACTTATGGTTTTCAGGCCGTTAATTGGAGATAAGAGTCTCTCAGACTTTCCTTGCCCCGGCTGGCTTTGAACTGTGATTCTCATATCTCAGCCTCCTGAGTAGCTAGGATTATAGGCATGAGCCACTGGCACCCAGCCGCTGGTTATTTTTTGACAGGATCTTTCTTCCTGTCCCGATGAGTACCTGAGTGTGATCCAATTAGGCTTCCAGTTGTAACTAGGATATCAGGTGGGAGCTACCACATCCTATTCTGCATTATGAAAAGATCTCAGCCTACCTCCTCAAGAGGCAGAGACCTAGAAGATCACAGTTTGAAGCCAGCCCAGTTAGAATAGTCCCTGAGGCTATCTCCAAAATTAATCAACAAAATGTCAGACTTGAGGTATGGCTTAAGTGATAGAGTGTGAAATGTAAGAAAGCCAAGCCAGAGTTTGTGGCTCTGAATTTTAGCTCTGGTACAGACACACAAAAGGAGTTTTGGAGGCTGGAGGTTTGGTTCAAGTGGTGGAGAACAAGTTGAGTATGAGGTCCTAAGTTTAAAATCCAGTGTGTTCTGTCTGGGCTGTCTTCAAACAGCCATCCTCCCAAGTACAGCTTTCCAAATAGTTACAGACAATAATAAGGTATTGTGCATTAATCTGTGTGATTTGTGTCAAGTAGATTGTTTAACTATTTGTGCTAGTTTGACAATTTTTTGTATTCTAAGAAATTCAAATGTTCTTTTCTTTTTTCTTAACTCTGAGCCTGAGCACTGTCCCTAAGCTCTTTTGCTCAAGGCTAGTACTCCCACTTTGGGCCACAACTTCACTTCTGGCTTTCGGATGGTTATTTGGAGATAAGAATTTCACAGACTTTCCTGCCCAGGCTGGGTTTGAATCGCGATCCTCAGATCTCAGCCTCCTGAGTAGTTAGGAAAACAGGCATCAACCACCAGCGCCTGGCTAAAATTCAATTTTTCTTTGAAGGCACAATAATTTGGCTATGTGTATACAGGATAAGAATCAAAAAGTTCAAATTTGAAACATGTATCAACATGATTCTCCAAAAGTTTTGGATTTTGGCTAGATATGGTGGTAAGCACCAGTAATCCCAACTACTTAGTAGGTGGATATCAGGAGGATTTTGTTTTGAGGCTAGTCCAGGCAAAAAGTTAGCAAGATTCCATCTCAACCAATAAGCTCAGTGTGGTGGCATACACCTGTGGTCTCAGCTATGTGGAAGATCTTGGTTTGTGGCTGGCCTTGAATAAAAAGTATAAGAGACTGTATTGGAAAAATAACTAAAGCATAAAAAGACTGGGGAAGGCTAATTATGCCAAAGGGTTTAGCCTCAAAGACTAGAAGTATAGCAGGAGGACACATGACTCAATGTAGAGGATCTGAAAAAAGGAAAAAGCAGTTGGATTTTGAAGCACTTTAGTTCTCAGATTTCCAGATTGGGTATGAGAATAATCCACAATCTGAATAAACTGAAATCCGAAGTCCTGGTCTCAAGCATTTTGGATTAAGAATACTCAAACCTGTAATTCTTTGCTGATCAAAGAAAGCTCTTAGGTCTGCAAGAGCTTTCTTTGGTAAGAACTGACATTTACTCTTCTTTCCACCCTCTAATGATATTGCAAACTAAATAGAATTCTATCTGGGTCTGTTCTTTCAAAGAGAAACAGAAGCAACTAAAATCTTGCCAAGGTACCTTGCCCTTTCAACCCTCGCAATGATTCCTTCCTCCTAAAATTGGGTTATGTTCCCTGAGTGAGGGGATGTTTCTTCAAAACAAGCCACTCCACGGTAACAAACTTGTTCCTGGGGAGAGGCCCAGCCACCATAGATTTACCCAACAAACTGCTAGTGGAGAGGTGGTGTCCAGCTGTAGGGTGAATGATGTTTGTAAAGCAATGGGAGTGCTCCAGAGGGTGGTTACTAAACAAATAGTGTCCTAAAGACTATCAAAGCTCCAGGAGGGACCTTTCTGTTTCTGCCAACATTCCACAGAAAACAATATAGGGGTCAGGGTTTTTATCCATCCAAGAATCATCCTTGAAGCTGGGGGTTACCAGCATGGTGTAGAGGCCAACTAGGCCAGCTGTTATGTTTGTGTGTAACTGGCCAAGGCTTTTTATCAGCTGAGACCCACGGGAAGGCTCTAGGGTCAGTGAAGGGACTTGGTAAGCCCTTGAGTTTGGTCCTGAGTCAGCCTTCTTTTCATGCCTCTGATCTTCCTGTTGGCAACAAGAGAAACTAAGCTCAGTTTTGGTTGTTTTAATCTCATCTTTCTCACCTTCTGACCCTCTTCTCTTAGCCCCATCATGGTTTTAATAGAATGCCAAAAGTTCACAGAATGGTTTTGGTTGCATCTTATGAATTTTAGCTCTTTTCCTGTTTTGGCAGAATTTGTTTTTCTCCTGTCTGAACAGTGGTGTCTGGAGAAATCTGTCAGCTACCAGGCTGTAGAAATCCTAGAAAGGTAAGGCCCTGTGCATTGGCCCTTGTGAGTGGTGCACCTTAAATTGGCTAGTAAGCCAAAAAAATGTACTGGTTAAGATGAGACAAATATGCCTTCCATTGATAGAATGGTTATGGATCTGGTAAAACAAATTGTGAAATAAAGTAAATATAGTAGAAGACATCCTTATGATGCAGATAGCAACTACATTGGTAAAAGCAATGTCAAATTCATCAAGAAAGCTGAAAGATTTTTTTGGGAAATATACAACTGAAATTAAGCAGAATCTTAAAGAGGAACAACTGCTTAATCCTTTTATGAGCTGTATTTAGAAGCTTGAGAACGGAGTGAAATGTTCTAGCATATTGAAGGTCTCTTCAAAAGTATGTCAGCCAGAACTGGGAATGTGGCTTAGTGGTAGAGTGTTTGCCTAGCATGCATGAAGCCCTGGGTTTAATTCCTCAGTACCACGTGAACAGAAAAGCCAAAAGTGGTACTGGGGCTCAAGTGGTAGAGTGCTAGCCTTGAGCAAAAGAAGCTCAGGGACAGTGCCCAGCCCTGTATTCAAGCCCAGGACTGGCACAAAAAAAATTATGTCAGTCAGTCACAACTTAGTCTATGCCTCCCCACTCAAAATTTCTAAATAAGTGTCTTTTATTGACTCTATGCTTCCATGTGTATTTCATTTTATTGCTTAAGTATAAAATGTATTTTTTATAGTAAAGAGTTTTTTTGAAGTACTAATAAGGCCAATGGAATAACAAAGTACACAATCTCACTCTCAACTTCCAAATGTAAATTCCCTAGTTAGCATTTGATACCTGAGAGGACAAAAAAATATAGTGCCATTTAAAGCACAAACTCCCTTAGGTCTGAGTGACTGTGGGTTGTTTTTCCTCCTGATTCCTCCTTTACAGATTTATGGTTAAGCAGGCAGAGGACATCTGCATGAAAGCCCCAATCCAGCTGAGAGCTAATGAGAAAACAGAGTCTTGGAATTGGAAGGCTCTGAAAGAGCAACTTTTCAACAAGTTTATTCTCCGTCTGGTGTCATGTGTTCAGCTGGCGAGCAAACTTTCCTTCCACTACAAAGTAAGGAGCTAGAGTTGTTCACTGGAGTTGTCCCTATGTTAGAAGGAAACCAGCCCATCAAAGGTGGCTGTGAGAAACCTACTCCTAAGATAGGCTATGTTACTCATGTGGAAATTCCAGAGGCTAATTATGCCTCCTAAGCATACTTTCTACACACACACACACACACACACACCACACACACACACACACACACACACACACACACACACACACACACACACCATTATTAAATAGCCTGGAGTTCTGTTCCCAAAGTATAATTTCTGGACAGATGCCATTATACAGGTCACCTTTCCTACCCTAGAACTCAAGGAGAGTTTGTTTACATAAGGTACCTGAATTACCAACATACCTAGTATTAAAGAAAACGATACACTTAAAAGAACAAAATGTTTCCGCATCACTGTACAATAAAATATCATTCATTTAGCAAATATTTATTGACTTTCTTCAGTGGCCAGATGCTGTAGTAGGGATCATAGCTACAACAGTAAAAATGTTGTCTGTACTCAAAGGAATTCATTATCTAATGGGAACAGACACATAAACAAACAGGATAAAAAGGTGCTGTGGTTAATGCAAATATAGAGGGTTAACAATGTACCTCATTAGCCTTGGAGAGAGGAGGAAATAGACCCAGAGAAAATGACTTCTTTAAGTAGGTAGGAGGAAGATGGGAGGATACTCAGAAAGAGCAAACAAAGGGAGGGCAGGGAGAAAGAGAAGGAGGGGGTAGGAATAGAAGGTAGGTCTAGGTACTGATAGCAGAGGTGTAGCAGCTGGAAGACAGGAAGAGTATTTGGGGTTTGGTAATTATAAGTAATTCTGTACAGACAAACTTAAGACTTTCAGGTGGACCAAGAGAGAAGATTATCAATAAAGACATGGGTTGAACTGTTTAAGACTTTGTTGTACACTCTGCCAAGGTATGTGATCTGTATCCTGACATTTTTCTTCCTGTTTGGTTTTCTTTGCACAGATAATAAGCAACATTACAGTCTTGAATTTCCTCCAGGCTCTAGGTTATCTGTACACTAAAGAAGAACTGCTAGAATCAGAGCTTGATGTTTTGAAGTCCTTGAACTTTCAGATAAATCTGCCTACACCTCTGGCATATGTGGAGATGCTCCTTGAAGTTTTAGGTACTTCACTAGGCCAGAAAATGTGGGTTTGGCCGGGTGCTGGTGCCTCACACCTGTAATTCTAGCTACTCAGGAGGCTAAGATCTGAGGATTGCGGTTCAAAGCCAGCCTGGGCAGGAAAGTCCCTGAGACATCTCCAATTAACCATAAGAAAACTGGAATTGGTGCCGTGGCTGAAAATGGTAGAGCACTAGCCTTGAGCAAAAAGAGTTCAGGGATAGCGCCCAGATCCCAAGGTCAAGCCCTATAACCGACAAAAGATGGGGGGGGGAGGAGGGAAGGAGGGAGCAAGGGAGGAAGGAAGGAAGGAAGGAAGGAAATGTGGGTTGGATACTTCCCTTGAGGGCAATTTAAAAATGTGTCCAAAGTTTTGGGAATAGCAGGCAGAACCTGCCAATGAGGAGCAGTAGGAAACCAGTGGTGTCTCTGAATAACTCAAAAAGAGTTCCCTCTGACACTTGCCAAAGAAAAGTAGCTTAGGGGAAGTGGTGCTGTGGCTCAAGCAGTAGAGAGCTCGCCTTGAGCTGAAGAGCGCAGGGATAGCACCCAAGCCCAGAGTTCAAGCCTCACGACCGACAGACAAAAAAAAAGAAAAGTAGCTTAGGAGTCTCAGCAACTGGTTGCTATTTGGACTCACTAGTCTCTTCCTTTCCTTTCCTTTCTTCCCTTCCTTCCCTCCCTCCCTCCTCTCTCTCTCTCTCTCTTTCTTTCTTTCTTTATGTCTTTCCTTTTCTTCTTTTTTGTTAGTCAGTGTGGGGCTTGAACTCTGGGCCTGGGTGCTGTCCCTGAGCTCTTCAGCTCAAGGCTAGTGTTCTTCCACTTGAGCAGAGCACCACTTCCAGTGTTCTAGTAGTTTATTGGAGAATCTCATGGATGGGCTGGGAAGTTGGCTCAGTGGTAGAGCGCTTGCCTTGCATGCATGAGGCCCTGGGTTCCATTCCTCAGCACCACATAAGCAAAAAGAAAAAAGCCGGAAGTGGCGCTATGGCTCAAGTGGTAGGGCACTAGCCTTGAGCTGAAGAGCTGAGGGACAGCACTCAGGCCCAGAGTTCAGGCCCCACAACCGGACCAAAAAAAAAAAAAAGAATCTCATGGATTTTCCTGCCAGAGCTGGCTTTGAACCATGTACCTCAGATCTCAGCCTCCTGAGTAGCTAGGATTACAGGTGTGAGCCATTGGCACCCAGCAGAAGGCCAATTTTGAAGGACAAAGGGACAGAGAATTTTCCATTTATAGTATATATACAATTACAGTGTATTTGTTCCTCTTGTATTTATGCTTCTCCATAAGACCAGCTCTCTGATTTTGCAATAAGAAAGTGACTAGTAAGCGGGTGCTGGTGGCTCACACCTATAATCCTAGCTACACAGGGGGATGAGATCTGAGGATTGCGGTTCAAAGCCAGCCTGGGCAGGAAAGTCCCTGAGACATCTCCAATTAACCATAAGAAAACTGGAATTGGTGCCGTGGCTGAAAATGGTAGAGCACTAGCCTTGAGCAAAAAGAGTTCAGGGATAGCGCCCAGATCCCAAGGTCAAGCCCTATAACCGACAAAAGATGGGGGGGGGAGGAGGGAAGGAGGGAGCAAGGGAGGAAGGAAGGAAGGAAGGAAGGAAATGTGGGTTGGATACTTCCCTTGAGGGCAATTTAAAAATGTGTCCAAAGTTTTGGGAATAGCAGGCAGAACCTGCCAATGAGGAGCAGTAGGAAACCAGTGGTGTCTCTGAATAACTCAAAAAGAGTTCCCTCTGACACTTGCCAAAGAAAAGTAGCTTAGGGGAAGTGGTGCTGTGGCTCAAGCAGTAGAGAGCTCGCCTTGAGCTGAAGAGCGCAGGGATAGCACCCAAGCCCAGAGTTCAAGCCTCACGACCGACAGACAAAAAAAAAGAAAAGTAGCTTAGGATCTCAGCAACTGGTTGCTATTTGGACTCACTAGTCTCTTCCTTTCCTTTCCTTTCTTCCCTTCCTTCCCTCCCTCCCTCCTCTCTCTCTCTCTTTCTTTCTTTCTTTCTTTATGTCTTTCCTTTTCTTCTTTTTTGTTAGTCAGTGTGGGGCTTGAACTCTGGGCCTGGGTGCTGTCCCTGAGCTCTTCAGCTCAAGGCTAGAGGCCCTGAGTTCATAAGCCCCAGGACTGTCCCCCTTCCCTCCCCCCCAAAAAAAGCCAAAAGTGGTGCTGTGGCTCAAGTGATAGAGTGCTAGCCTTGAGCTGAAGAGCCGAGGGACAGCGCCCAGGCCCAGAGTTCAGGCCCCACGACTGGACTCCCCTTCCCTCCCCCCCAAAAAAAAGCCAGTCATAAGAAAAAAGTTAGACAAAAGTGTTTGATTACTATAAAGCCAGGTTGGTCAAAAGCCTCAGTTACATCTGTTACAGAGACAGATGGAACAACAAAAGGCTTATAAACCACTCAGATACAAGGCTCATATTTTAATCCCAGTTGAGTTTGGGGATGATGGGAAAGCAGGTTAATTAGCTATCACTGAACAGTGTCCTTCCATGTTTAAAAAAACAACACCAAATGCTCAACATAAACAATTCATAGTTGAAATTCTATGACCCTAGAATTTGAAAGCTCATGTTTCAGTCTAGCTTCAAAATTAATATGGTTTTAATCACTCAGAGAAAAGTTTATCTCAGTGAAAGAAGACTTTATGCTGTTGGCAGTTGGAATCATCGCAGCAAGTGCTTTCATCCAAAACCATGAGTGTTGGAGCCAGGTATGCACCAATGAGCTGGATCCGCATGGCCAGAATTCATTTAATAGAAAGCATTCCTCCATCAGTTAAAGAAAACAAAAGTATCTACAGAAGACAAGTGCCAAGACCCGGGATCAGGATTTGAACTGAGGGCTGAGCAGGCTGAGCTCAGCATGAGAGGGTTGAAAAACTAGGTTAGGACTGAAAAAAAAAATTGGGGGGGGGGAACGTTAGTTGTGGGGCTTAAACTCTAGGCCTGGGGACTATGCCTGTGCTTTTTCGCTCAAGGCTAGTGCTCTACTTTGAGCCACAGCTCCACTTCCAGTTTTCTGATAGTTAATTGGAGATAAGAGTCTCATGTACTTTCCTGCCCAGGCTGGCTTGAACCACAATCCTCAGATCTCAGCCTCTTGAATAGCTAGAATTATAGGCATGAGTCACCAGCACCCAGCTGGGACTGAAATGTGTTTTTCAGTTTTTTTTTCCTTATGAAACTAGAAATAGAGGCCAAGTTCAGTATGTTCATTTTCCTTTATGGGTATGACCGAGTATTATGAAATCCAAAAAGCATACCCCCTCTCCCCAAACAGAAAATATGTCAAGGCCCAACTACCCAGGAAACAGCTGATAGATCATGAGAATGTGGGGAAGTTTGGAGGTAATGATAATCCCCCTTAGCTTTCACAAAACTTACTCTCACAGAGGGAAATAGTTTTCACACTAATGCTTCAGGGCAAAGGCATCCATTTGAAGCTGGATTTAATCTTGCCTGCACATTCAGAGAAATGGAGTTTATTTGGTTGGAAAGAATATCCCAAGCTGTGTGTATACAAAAGCATGTTGAGGTTATTTAATAACAAAAAATCTGTCTCCGTTTCTGAAGGTTGTGGGGCATTTGCAGAGCATCACTGGCATTGCTGTGGAGAGCATTGCTGAGTTCTCTTATGCAATCCTGACTCACAGTGTGGGGGCCAACACTCCAGGACGACAGCAACCTGCTCCTCCCCACTTGGCAGACAGAGCTCGCAGGGGTGCTGCTTCCTCAACATGAGGCAGACTGAGCCCCCCAAATATAAACACCTATCACTATACTCTTCCCTCTATTTGTTTACTTTCATATTCAAGGCACAAAACTTCTAAGTCTCCTTTGAACTGTACTTTGTATTCTAATTCCATGCATATTTTTCTGAATCAGCTAAAGTGGACAAGTTTGCCTTTTTTTTTTTGGTCCTATCAGACTAAAAATGTCAAAGAACTAAGAGGAAACAGGTTAGTGAAGTTGTTTTTTAACAAGTAGTTCATGGCTTTTCTTTTAACCTCATTTCATGAACAGGGAACATCAGACATGGAGATAAGTATTAACCTGGATCTTAAAAAGACTATTTATTTGGTTGCTGACTATTGTTGAAATTGCCTTTATTTCCCTTTAATTTCCTCTCTGTCATGTTACTGAGATCTATACAAATGACTTCCTCTACAGTCATCTTCACTAGGTTTTTGTTGTTTTTTGGTGATACTGGGGTTTGAACTCGATGCCTTGTGTTTACCTAGTAAGTGCTTTACCCATTAAAAGCCACACCTCCAGTACAGATTGTTTTGTAACTCAAATGTCTCTATACATGTTTCAACAGAATTTCCATATACTTTTTTAGATTAAAAAAAACACAATAGTGCACTTCTGGGTTGTTATCAGACTGTAACAAATCTTTTATTACAAAGAATTAAATCTCTCCATAATGTCTCAAACAGTATCAAACACCATTTCATAACTCTCATATATAGCAGAGTAGGCACTCAGTGCTAGAACTGAGTGAGGAGAAGTGTTGAATTTCAAGCTTCTGATAATATCTCATGTTGACCAGGCAGAATGTAGATGCCATTTTCCTGTTATTCCTGTTTCATACATTTTATTGTTGCAATGGAGACCAAAGTTCATAATTTAAGTCTAGGAAGTTGAGAGATAAAATCCAGTGAAAACATACTAATCTCAATTCAACTCAAAAAAAAAAAAAAGCAAACTTAAGTTAGTTGTTTTGGGGGACAAGAAAGGAAAGCATGGGGTTAAAACCATGACAAGATCTGCTAGGCATATATGGAATATTATAACACTGGAATTTGTCATGATATTTTAAAATAAAGTGGCTTTTTGTGAATTTTGTCTCTTTCGGTATTGTAAACGTGGTGTTTAATATTAATCAAATTTAATTTTAAGCATTTTTTCCAAACAAAACAAAATTTAAAACCATCAAGGCAAATATCCCCTAAGGAAAAAAAGTCATTTGTTATAAAATTGTGAGGATACCCAAGCAAGACCCCACTTAAGATTTGTCAGCATGAACTTGAGAGCTTTTGTCCACTGTTCCTCAGAATTGAATTGCGTTTTGATGGAGTAGGAGCCACCGCTGCCTCCAGTGTCTTCAATCTTGCCTTTCTCCACATCCATCCTGCAGATGGGCACAGCAGAGCTCAATTAATAACAGATCTGAGTTAAATCAGTTCAGGCAAATGGGCAAGGACCTGATCACAGAACCATTCACATCACTTTAGCTCTTTAGAACACTTAGCTCATTTGGGACTCTTGGCGACAACGGTAGTGTATTTTGGATTTGCTTGAAAGCACCAAACCAAGAAGGCTGTCACAAGAGCCTTATTGTCATTGCAGAATACCAGGACAGGACATACACCCAAACAGATGAGAAGTCTGGAACAGGGTGAGTGAGGGTCACAGTACTCCTCACTGTTTCCTAGGCATCTCTGAACTCAGGGGAAAAAAAGGGAGGCAAAAGAAAATAAATGCTTTGTTTTAGGATAAGAGCAGCTCAAGCTATTTGTATGAATTTTTTTTTTTTGAGGCAGAGTCATCTGCTTCAGCCTCTGGAGTACTAAGATTATATGGGCCTGTGCTATCACACCTATCAATCTTATACGCTTGAACTGAGTTTCTACCCATCACTAGACTTCTATAATATCTGACCAAAAGAAGCATTCTTACATATTTCCAAAGACTTTAGTAAAAAAAATCCTTCCAGAAAATAGAGAATAGACTTAAGCTCTGTGCCAAGAGAATTTCCCAAACCACCTAAGACAACATTCTTGTATCCAGGCACCAGGTGGTCACACTGTCTTGTTTGCAGTGCTATATGTCTTTGCCCATTAGTGCCATGTGATTCTGCACCATGTTTTGCTTTTGCCTCTATTCTTACTGTCCAATTTTGTTCAATTTGGCCCTACTACAAGTTCACTAGGCAATGGGAGATACCAACCTGTAAGGAAGACAAAATCGTGTCTCGCCTTTCTCTACCTCTTCTTTGAACTGCTGCACACAGTCCAGGAAAGCCACCATCGCATGGTCAAACTTGTTGTCCCAGAAAAATCGCAATCCCCCAGAACAGTATAATGGCAGCTCCTATACAAGAAGAGAGAACTGCCTATGAGTGTGCACCAAGACAAGTTACCAGATAGAGTTACCAGTTCCTATCTCTCAAGTTGTATTGTGTTTTTAGAAACAAGTATTACTACAGGGATCTATCCATTATAATCTTGAACAGCTACAAATAATACAGGCACCCAGAACTGTTTCCCCACCAGTGGAATGCACTGAACTTCTACTTCAAAGTAATTCCTTCCCTATCCTCTTACATGTTTTCCTTTGATCTGTCTATATCTCTCAATAGACTATAAAATCCTTTTTTTTTCTGTAACATTTTCTATAATAAATGGCTCCTTTTGAGATTTCTCAGTCTGAAAAAGAAACTGGATCATGCCAGTATCATTTTTATTTTTTCAGTGCTAGGGAATCAAACTCAGAACTTTGTATAAGCTAGGCAAGGATCTACCTCCGAGCTACATTTCCTGTCCTCAAATGAAACCACTTCGTTGAGTAATAAGCACCCTGTAGTCCAGTGAAAATGGGGCATGCAAAAGTACCTTAGATTTGTCTGTCAGAGACTCCAGATAGGAATGATTTCCATAGGGAACAAGTCGATACCTAAAATAGAAATGTAGACAGTAATGGATATAGGACTCCTCCTGAAGTAGCTGATAGAAAATGTTAATAAGGGCTGGGAATGTGGATTAATGGTAGAGTGCTTGCCTAGCATGGATGAGGCCCTGGGTTTGCTTCCTCAGTACCACATACACAAGAAAAAGCCAGAAGTGGCTCTATGGCTCAAGTGGTAGAGTGCTAGCATTGAGCAAAAGCAGTTCAGGGACAGTGCTCAGGCCCTGAGTTCAAAAAGAAAGGAAAGAGAGGGAGAGAGAGGGAGAAAAAGGAAGAATGGGGGGTGGGGAGAGAAAGAGGGAGGGGGTGGTGGTAACAAGTTGGGCACCTGTAGATCACACCTGTAATCTTAGCTACTCAGGAAGCTGAGATCTGAGGATCATGGTTCGAAACCAGCTGGAGCAGAAGTCCCTGTGAGACACTATCTCCAACTAACCACTCAAAAACCAAAGTGGTGCTGTGGCTTAAGTGGTAGAGTGCTAGCCTTGAGCAAAAAGAGGCTCAGGGACAGCACCCAGGCCCTGAGATTAAGCCCCACAACTGACAAAGAAAATGTTAACAATGATTTTCCAATCTGTATCCTACCCAAAGACTTACTATACCCAACACTTTCCCCTACCTCCCCATAAGATCAATGTTTGAAGAGACTTTATTTAAAAAAACAAAAACAGGGCTGGGAAGTTGGCTCAGTGGTAGAGCGCTTGCCTTGCATGCCTGAGGCCCTGGGTTCAATTCCCCAGCACCACATAAGCAAAAAGAAAAAAGCCGGAAGTGGTGCTGTGGCTCAAGTGGTTGAGCGCTAGCCTTGAGCTGAAGAGCTGAGGGACAGCGCCCAGGCCCAGAGTTCAGGCCCCACGACGGGACCCAAAAAAAAAACTAAACAAAAACAAAAAAACCAAACAAACATTTATTATGTAACTATCTGGGGTTGGGGGAGTCTTTCATAGAATAATGTAGAATAATGTAGGTTTTTTAAAACTAAAACTTTCTTAAATACTTAGGCTCTGGAGACTGTAACTAGGAAACCATTGCTACAGTCACCAGCTTGATGACTGCTCTATCAGTGGGAAGAGCACTGTGATGAAGGGAAAAGTCAGCTGTAGATAGCTTCCAGCCACAATAGAGAGCAGTGGGAAATTCAGACTATGTAAAAAAAAACATACCAATCCCCATGGAAGAGCTGTATTGCTTACCTCTGAAATTTCAGACCCATCTTATTGGCCAGGGCATGGAGCAGCAACACTGTCTGGCCCCACGCAGCATTAATCTCATTCCATTCCACAGGAACACTGGGTAGGCGACCCAGTCTGAAGTTATTGATTGTGCCGAACTGCCCACTATGCCTATAGAAAAAAGCAGAATGAAGGGAATACAGTGATTGCTAATAACTTTTGAGATTTCCCTCTTCCACCTAAAACCTAACACAAATTTCTTATCTCAGATTCGTATGTCCAAATGCTACTTGGCATTTTAAATACATGCCAAAAACTTGAGTTATCATCTTTCAACCTGTTTTTTGAAAGTGCCAAAGCAAACGGGTGTCATCCTTAAACACTTTCTCTCAGCTCCTTAGCCCAAAAAAACAAACCCCACTGATTCTACCTCCTGCATCTTAAAATATGTCCCACTCTCTCCAACCTAAAGTGACTACTCTTTTCCTATTTAGAGTCCCACTAACAAATCTTAATCCCTCCCCCTAAGTCATTTCTCCTATTGAGGTAAAGCTATCATTCACAAACACAAATGTAATTACGTCACTCCCCTGCCTAAAATGCTTCTATTGCTTCCTCTCCCCTTTGGACCAATGCCAAACCTCTTAATGAGGCCTATCAGATCCTTAAGAACTGGTACCTCTCCAGTTTCATATCCTGTCATCCACCCCCTCATAATCAATCTTCAGTCACAAAAAGCTCTTTTCTGTTCTCTGAATCCACCACTCCCTTTTTCCTGTTCCTTGCACATGATGTTCTCTCTGCCAGGAATAACTCCCCCTTTGTAAATGACTACTTCACCCCTCAGATTAAACATCAACCTCCTGAGAGAAACACTCCACACAGACTCCCCAAACTAGGTAGTGTTCCCACAATGCATTGGGCCTACCATTTTCACACATTACATTTACCTATTATTTATTTGCCACTTCTACAAAATTGTAAATAACTGGAATATATTGTTCGCTGCAGCCCTCCTGCCACTTTACCCAGTACATACTACATTGTACATACTCAATAGTTATTCGTTAAGTGGATAGGGAAGATATCAAAGCACCAGGCAGCTGGAGGTTTCAGAATTTCTTTCCTAGAATGGGTGATGTTATTGAGCTCAGGAATTCTAATCCCCTGTGCTCATCCCATCACAATAATGACAGAAACCTTACCAAGGTGAAGATGGCCTACAACTTTTCATGTGGGGAAGGAGGGTGTTCTAGTTTAGTACTCTACAGCTAGGGTCCAGATCTTCAGTGCTCTCCAAGCAGACCACATCCTCCAACTCCCCCTTACCATATGTGAAAAGTTGCATTAAAGACATTGGTTTTCTTCAGCTTGTCCAGTTGTATCTGAGCATATCGCATCTGGTTTTCTACACTCTTCAGCTCATCATCCAGCTCCAAT